TTATTGGGTAAAGGGATGCACGCAACGGATTGTGGGGGTAACGCCGTCTCCTTTGGAGGCTAAGTTAACGCGAGGTATGAAAACCTACATCGACACAAAGCTCGACGAATAGCGCTAGATATATGTTTTAATGACTTCAAGGCCTGAAAAGCACAAAACAATCCCTCTGTGACAACATTAGTGTTGAATAGACACATTGAAAACAGTGGTGGAACACGGGGTGTCGACTGTACACACGACAAGCTCTTTGCGCACATTTTTTTGCAATTTAATTATTACCCAATGGTTTTTTTTTTTTCTGCCACTGGCATCAATAGAAACATTACTGCCGCTGGCATCACTGCAAATGAGGTCCGTAAAGCGGCATTTCATAATCCAAATACAAGGATGCCTAATCGCATTGAGTGGACCTAGCTAGCAACTGCCCAAACAGAAGAAGTCAACCATGTTGCAAGATCATAGCTGAAGTCACACAAAACGCCGAAATGCCAGCCCGTGCCATGTACTATGTGTGCGAACCCAAACTTCCATCCTAGGACGTATCGACACTTCACCTGCAAGTCTGGGGAATGTCCCCACGCAGTGCCATACGAGGACTGCTCATGGCGGGAAAGCTGCTCCCGTGTCAGAAACACCAAACGCTATCTCTTTTCGAGACGAACAGCCACCTGACAAGTTTTCTTCGCCGTACGAGCAGCTTTGTCTAGTCGCCACATGCTATTTTTCAAGACCCTCACAGAACAGCGGTTGAAACGGAAGCGGATCAAAAATATGCTTCGCCACAAACCCAGTTTCCAGCCTTGCAGACGCCATCTTTACAAACCGTCCATCAACTACCCTTCAATCAAAACTTCGGGGACAACTACGTGCACGATGGCATTGCTGCATAGGTGCGAGGGCATATATACACCCGTTATGAAGATGAATCAAAATCATTTACTTTCACGTCGACACTGGACGGAGATGGACGGCCCTATGTGGCAGACGGAAGAGACGCGGATCCTTTCTTCGTAGGCATATCTACAAAGCGCCTACTGAAACGACTGGATCGTCTTCCAGAATAGCCCCTGTTGCACTTGGATGCATCTTTCAAGCTTAGCCAAGTTGAATATCCCGCTTTTGACGTTGTTAGTTCCGACCGTGTTGGTATGTGCACTTGGTCACGATATCTGTGGTCTCTCGACGTCTGATAAATATGTGTACAGTGGTACTTGAATCACTTCGTCGTATCTACACTGTCATTACGTCAAAGCCGCTGCAACCGCGATTTGTGATGGGCGATGCAGAAGATGCCCAATTCACAGCTTTCTCGCTCGTATTTGCACGTGATTCAACTTCCACTGTCACATGTGTTTCTTTCACGTCCTCTACGTACAGAAGCGTAATTATGGAGGCTGTAAAAGTTATGTGAAGCATGAAATTACAAGTGAAAAAGAGTACAAGGCCGAGATGAAGCATTACGTAAATGGAGACCTGATCCTCGTTCCCAAGCATTCGTTGGTTACTTTGAAAATCAGCGGTTACCTGGGGCTGCTATTTCAAACAATCCAATTGTACAGTACGACAAAGTCATCAAGCGTGACTACCTGTACATACTCCCCACACGGACCAAACTCAGCTTGCTTTTACGATTGACCGATTGTTATTCGGATGAATCAAATAACCTTCATGACTTTCAGTTAAATGTCGAGCCTACCGAAAGTCAGTAAAGAGAGCTACGCAAATGGCGAAAGATAACTTACTTTTCGAGGTGAGGCGCCAGCCCGTAACCCCGCCGTTACATGCAGAATTACAAAGAGGGTACCTTTGTTAACGTTTGTTCGGCGCCTCCACCTCGAGTTCACGTTGAATCAATGCAGCGTTTAGAAGAAGTTCTGACTGTCACCGCTCAAATGGAGGCAAATTACGCTCGAATGGAAGTGATTGGACAGCCCCCCAATGGATGGGAAGTTGATATGTGTCCGTGCAAATATCATCCAAAATTTGGAGGATGGGTTCATTTGATTTTTGCATTGTGATAACAAACTTATGTTGGACCTAACTGCAAGCGCATGATGATTACTCGGAGAATCACACGGGGACAAGATTCAGTAGATCGTTTAAAGATGATTGGTCAAGTGCTATCGCTAGAGTAACATGAAATAGAATTTTCTCGATGGCTCGCATCGTCAGTATTCTCGCAAATGCAAATTCGGCATTAGGTCTGTCTTTCCAACGCCGTTTCTTCCATAGTCGAAAGTAAATTTTTCAGGATTATCAGTAGTTGAAAGTTTTCGTGATCCGTCTGGTCAGTTATCTGGAACTTGTTCAAATTCAATGCTCTCTATTTCAACCACGTTATAGTCTTCCTTTGCTTGGTCTTGGTCACTTGATCTTTTGCCTGGCGCCCACCAAAGCGGCTGGAGCGATGGAAACAAGTTTTAGCTTGAAGACTGTAACTTAATGCTGCTCAATTGTATGCTATCATTGAGCAGTCGTTATATATCGCGACAGAGTTCCTGATCGGCTTCATCAAATGGCGGTAATTAGCTTTCATCGTTCGCTTGGCACCCCACAGGTTATTTTTTTTCGTATTCTTTTCTTGTTTAACTCGCGCCCCGCATACTAGCAATAGCTGGTCGAAGATCTAATTGAGGATCGTCGCTGTCCAATATACTGACAGGCGGCTACGTGAAGAAGCTACAACAATGAATTGTGCTGTCGGCTTTAATAATGGCGTCACTATTCTTAAATATGCGACCGACAGAGCTACCAATACTGCCGGCAGAATTAATGTTACTGAACTAGCATAACTATAATAGCGTGGTCGCAATTAGGCCGTCAGCCGATGCAACGGAGAATTAAGATGGATCTCCATACCTATCTCTGTCCGATCCCAACGTGGCATTTCTCACACCCAGTTTTTGTGATTGGCATATCAGATAGTAGTGGAGAAATCATGCTTATTATTTAATGTTATACATCCTAGGGACGTGGCGAAAACATTTCCTTGTGCCTGTGCCTGGCTTTTATTTTTTTTTTTAATAAAGTCGTTCTACAAGAATTGCTTGTGGAATTTGGTCCTGATGTTGAGCTGATGGACGGAGACTGTGCGCAGTACAAAACGGGTATCCCAGATCCCAAATTCTACGGTTCTGATGTGCTGGTTCCATGTAATCCAAATGTTCAAAAACGCTGCAAAGATGCAATTGGATTTGGTGTCGAAGAATTTGCAATTGCATGATTAGCCGAATCCGTGGTTCGCTTTCCAATTATCTAGTCGGGATAATTCAGGGTGCACCTCACACACCGGCCAAAAGCAGGTATCAGAGCTTGCAGCACAAGAGCCGGTGCCCCCCCCCCCCCTTGCTGTTCTTGCCGTCCTGTCACTCTTGCACAGTCACAATTGTGAATGGTCCGTTGGCTATGTATCTGTACTTGTTTTTGCGGTCTTTGGCCGGAATGCAAAGCATCAAATGGTCATCTACTTGGTACGCGTGCTGTTGTCGTACCATAGTCTCACGATCGTTATCTAGGAGAATGGCTTCGGATCGACGCTAGCAAAAATAGTTCCATTTTGCTTCGCACAGTTTTTGAGTGATCAGATCTTGCCCGGAGATTATGTGGTCTGAAATAGCCCCAAGTCCCTGAATAACACAGTAGATAGCAATACGGACATTTGCACGCGACGGCGCATGTTAATGCAACACGAACCGAGGACAGTGTTGAGGCCGACGTTTGTTCCAGGAGGATTTGCTGGAGCCTGGACCGGATACCGGTATAGATACGTCGGTTATAGATCATTCCCAAATCATCCATGATGATGAGCAAAAAACGTCGAGAGGCATGTCACCCGGCGTCTCAGGTTTTAGCAGATCAGGAGGGCCCGCTACAGTTAAAGTTCGTTTGAGTAACACAGAGGCTTTTTACATATCTAATTGAGAAATACAAATGAGCAAGTGTACCCATAATTGTTCGATCTCGAGCGGCTGCCTCTACCGTTTAGAGTCCGACGGGGGTGCTAGCGCGAGATGAAGATGCGTCTCGCACGAGGGAATATTAAGGAGTCGTCGGGTTTGCACAAGAAAGAGGAGGCCTTGCACAAGACGTTTATCAAGGAGCTGCAGGTGAGTCGTAAGATTACCAAGCAGATCGTGGAGAAGGGTAGCGATGCTAAAGACTCAGACATTTCCTCGAGTGGGCTAAAAGTAATCGAAACGCTGGATAAGATCTCAGAGCCTAGAGTACTCCCCGCAACTGTTCCACAGCTGGATCCGTGATAATGACTATTACAAGTTCAAGTTTAAGCTGGTGCTACGACCTCTAAGGTCAGTGTTTACATTGGGATGGTTGACGATGCTAGTGATGTACGTCACGAGGTCGCGCACTACATGTGCACTTGCGTGTGCACATCACACGAATGGAAGTGGATGACTGGCTCAATGACCACACGACTGTCAAGATTGCGGTCGGCGCAGAGTAACCTGCACTGACCATGGTGTCAGCTCCACGCGTGATGACACCACTATCCGGCCCGGCCAAATTGCCTATTTATATGTCGTATCAAGTCTCCCGTCTACGGCGCGAAGGATGTCGTCATAATGTTACAATAAACAAAAACGTTCTGTATCACGAAGGTGCTAACCGTCTCTATGCATTCACGGACCACATAATCCGCTTTTCAGGCTACTCTAGCTTTCTCTTCCGACGCACTGTAGAACGCTTCAGTTCACACTGAGTGAGATATTAATATAAGATGTTTTTATAAACTAGCTGCGATCAATAGTGGAGTAATAATCTAACTGAAAGTATGTATTGGAGCATCTATATTGAAGGAATCTACAGAGCGGGCACATCAGACGCTACTCGATCCACTTAATAAATAATTCGACCTTGGGCGGCGCTGTTATGAAAACGCCTAGATACTTCAATTCTTTTCTTCGCGGCGTGATAGCACCACCGAGAACTCGGGGAAACCTGTGACTCTGATTATTTTTCGAATATCAAGCACCCGCAGGACTCATCGTATAATGCCGGCAGATACTTCGAAGACTCAACCGAATCCGCATTTCGCTACTCTAGTGTCGCTGGTGGAGATAATGCATATACCGTTGGAAGGGGTTCCAACAGCGCTACGGATAACTACAGAGATGGGAACAGTATTTACGGTTTGGAGAAACACGTTTGCGAGGACATCAGTGTATCGGTAGACGAAGATGAAATAATGAATTATGAGTGTGACTTCCCAGGTTGCAATCTCTACACCAATTTTTCGTGCCACGATAACGTGGGGCTGATCTGGGTAGATGCTACATTGGTTAATTTGATATTGGGGCATCAGTAAGTTGGAGAAGAGAAGAAATTGCCAAACATAAACTTATAATGCAGACAGCCGATGAAACAATGCATATCGTGGAGACCCAAGTGAAGCTCACAGCGAAGAGACGGGCACTTCAACGGACGCAGTATTTAAGATTCCTCCTCCACCAGAGAATGTGGGTGATTATCATGATGCTGCTGCTGAAACGCTAATCACGATTGGGCACTTCAGCACAACTACTAGGTGTCTAGGTGTCGTGGTCGATACTTGACTGGAACAAAAATGGTCTTGGCACAACAGTCTGAGTATGACCAAGCAGGGGGCCGAAGTCTACACAAAATATGTAGAAGAAAGTGAGTGAATGAGAGAGAGGGAGAGTGAGTGAGCGAGTGAGAGAGAGAGAGAGAACTAGACGGGGGTACAAACGCAGTGGATGCCCCATACGCGGCGTAAAATGTACTGTTTCGAAGGATGATATAGGAGGTTTGTGGAGAATTGTCCATAGTCAAAGAAGCTTTTCACATAGTCATCCTCCTTCACGAGATGCCTGGGTACGTGCGGCACATAGGCCACGGGTTGCTGCTGAGCGCTCTTTCACGCATGGAGAAACCATAGGTGATTTCGTTAACAGCCAGGCCACAACTAGTATACATGTACCGAAGATTCGCGCTTCAATACTTCACAGCAAACCAACGCCTCTAGTTCTGCCAAAAGAGATAGTAGCTCAAAGTTGAGAACCATAAACCGGTTTATTACACCGCAAACTCTGATAGAAGTAGCACTTCTTTCGATAGGTGCGAAAACTCCAACCTAACATAAATCATAGAGGCCTTAGAGTGGCGCCTTGACAACCGGAGCGTAGCGGTGGTCTGTCAGGGGACGGCGCGTAGGCCGGAGTAGATTCCGAAACAGGGAGCTAATATCTTTTTATCGACGCCTTGCCCGCCATGAGCGCAGCGAAATTGGCGGTGCAAACGAGGAGCTCACGGATTGGCTTAAGTACGATTCTCACCAATTCGCACGGGTTTTGACAGACTGTCGCACCAGTGGGAGAAGCCCTCTTTTCACAACTAGAGCACCAGCATTTCTTCTATGGCTACGCAACCGACCCTACCACAAATGACCTTTTACATCTTTTTGGGCACATCCGGCTACAATTCGGATGGACAAACTTCGCTGTGATGTCTTAATCATGGATGGAATATTCAAAACCAACAAGTACGACCTTCCATTACTAAACGTTATATCGATGACTGGAATGAATACTGTTTTGCCTGTAGCAATGCTTCTTGTCTGGTCAAGCTGGATAAAACGTCACCTGGATTCTTCGAACACTCCGGTTTATGCTAACCAAACACAACGTTCAACTACCCAAGTGTTATTTTTACGAACCATGAGCTAGTAATAGTGAGTGCACATAATCCTTTTGGTGCCATCTATGATCTGGATATATTGTCCAAACCAAAATGTATTGGCAAAAGTGTGATTAGTACCCGGACAGAAACCAGTGGACAATCCACTACCTAGCCAAGATAAGTATGTTAACACCTCGGAAACTGACGCTTACATGACAGTATTTTACAACACAGTTGAGATCGCAACGGAGACTGAATTTGAGTTAAATTGCTCAACCTTACAAGATTGTTTGTCGTAGCTTGCCTCGTCTGTGGAAGGAAAAAAAA